GAAGGCCAAACAAAGTAGTTTAGCTTTCACAACGAAAAAGCGTCACACACCGCGGCCTTGAGTGAGCGGAGGCCGGAGGCCTAGAGTCAGCCACGGCCTAGAGTATGCGGAGGCCGGCTTGAGTGAGCAGAGGCAGGCGGGGCGAGCTTGAGAACGGCGCGGCCGGCAGATTCCACTAAGGAGCGTCCGGCGGGCTTGCGGCAACCACATGTGACGACCTCGGGCTGGACTCCGCTTCGTCCACGGTGAAAGCCGATCCGGAGATCCACAGCGCGAAGTTTATGTATTTCCTCAACTACCAGCATGGATCAGCTCCAGGCATGACGAAGCGGATATCATCCTCTTTTGGAAGGCCAAACAAAGTAGTTTCGCTTTCACAACGAAACACACAGCGCCTTCACGACATGGCGGCGGCGGCAACAATACTACAGCGAGAATAAAAGTTATGCCTTCGTTCTTTGCGTGAACATTTGGGCGGCGTTATGCAAAACTTCCCACATCGTGACGTAGACATGTGGGGGCGTGTTAGAACGAGGCGTTTTAGGTAGGTGTTAACTTTTGTAGGTGTTAATGTCTTTGACTCTTAACTTTTATAAAGAATATCTCTTTGGATTTGAGACTTTAGTCTTTGCAACTTTACAGATCTTCTTTATGCACCAAGAGCTTGTAACACTCCAAAGAGAAAGGAACATTTTAAATCGCATCATATGACCCCTTTAAGGAAAAAAAAAGTCTGAAAATTGCTTTTTCAAGTACTCGCGCATATTTTGATGTACAAAAACTATTTTATTATTATTATAAATGTTTTGTATATTGTAACTAAGATTTGTTAAATTATCACCAGTTTGGCAAATGTTTGTCATGTTATGAAAAGTTATAAAAGTTAAGAAAAAGTAGTTCACTTCAAGCATTAACATTAAGCATTGTGAGCCTAGTTTTATTTCATATGTATATAAGCATTTATGTAGGTCTTGACACGATAATCAAACTAATGCAGCCCTGTGGAGAACAGTACTCCTTGTATGATGCATTTTATTTAAAATTATATTTCATCCCTTAAGATGAAGAGTCCTGAAGGAGGCTAAAGGATGAAGGGAAACCTTTAAATCAGTCTATTAAATCAAGAACTGCCCATGCATGTGTGTAAATGCATGCAGATACTCCTGAGTAAAGGGGCATTATCACTGTTATCCAACTACACACGGTTCAGGACTTGTGTTTTCAAGAAGGAATGAAGCTGTCCAATTCATTTATGTCAAGGTCCTTGACATTAATACATTGCTAGCAGCTATACTACACAGGCAAACATATGTGGACACCTGAACTCTAGACTCATGTGCATGTTGAAGATTTCATTTCAAAACCATGGGCATTAACAGTGGGTTTGTTTGACCCTTTGATGCGGTATAATGGCTTCCACTCCTCTGGGAAAGTTTACCATGTGATGTTGGAACGTGGCTGCTGAAATCTGCTCCCATTCAGACAGAAGAGCATCAGCGATGTTAGGCAATGGGACCTGGCATAAATAAAGGTGTTCAAAAGGATTTCAATTCTGGACTTTGTGAAGGGCAATCAAGCTCTTACACCAGACATAGTACACCATTTCTATACAGACCTTGCTTTGTGCATAGTGGCACTGTTAAGCTAGAACAGAAAAGGTAAAGCCCATTCTTCAAAAAAAATGTTTAAGGATATTCCATGGGTGTTATTCCATGTATTGTGTTAGATACAAGAGGACATCCACATAACTGAAATTAGTAGATGATGTCCACATAAGGTCATGCAGCGTGAACTCTTTAAAGGGATAGTTCACCCAAAATGAAGATTATGTCATTAATAACCCTCATGTCGTTTCAAACCTGTAAGACCTTTGTTCATCTTCAGAACACAAATTAAGATATGTTTAATGAATTCCGAGAGCTCTCTGACCCTCCCATAGACAGCAAGGGTACTACCACGATCAAGGCTCAGAAACGTAGCAAGGACATCGTTAAAATAATCCATGTGACATCAGTGGTTCAAACTGAATTTTACGAAGCTGCGAGAATACTTTTTGTGTGCAAAGAAAACAAAAATATCAACTTTATTCAACAATTAATCTCCTCCGCGTCACCCTATAGCCCCATTTTTGGAGAGTATCACATACGTAAACGGTGTATGCAACGTATGTACGCGAATACGTTGTTTACGTTCAGATCAAAGCGCAAACAACGTATCCGCGTTGCTGCTGACACAGAACAGCATACGTTGTTTACATATGTGATACTCTCCAAAATGGCACAATAGGGTGACACGGAGGAGACGAATTTGTAAATAAAGTCATTATTTTTGTTTTCTTTGTGCACAAAAAGCATTCTCGTAGCTTCGTAAAATTACCGTTGAACTACTGATGTCACATGGATTATTTTAACGATGTCTTTGCTACGTTTCTGAGCCTTGATCGTGATAAGATCCTTGCTGTCTATGGGAGGGTCAGAGAGCTCTCGGATTTAATCAAAAGTATCTTAATTTGTCCTCCGAAGATGAACAGTCTTACAGGTTTGGAACGACATGAGGGTGAGTAATTAATGACAAACATTTTTCATTTTTGGGTGAACTATCCCTTTAAGGCTCTATTATACTACAGAATGAACTGATGCGATGTCATTTTTAACAAAATCAGGCCAAAACGAAGTTTGCTTCAGAAGTTTAAAACAGCTTGCCAAAGTAGACTATCCAGAAAAGTTTGCTGTGGCTGGTAATCACCTTCAAACTACTATTGGTCTGTGATAATTACTTAACAGGTAATGTAGGTGTGCTCTAAGGCTCCGCCTTCCCTTTATAGTAGAAATTGAAGTTGTACTTCTAATTGAAGTGACACTGACACAATTTTTTACGGGTGAATTCCATACATTTCAATAGGAATCCATGCGATTGGGAGTTTCGCATGAGGAATGAAAAAGTTCCCCATTTAAATTTCTCTGATGATCAAGTTGGTCACTTGAATTCCCAACGCTGACCAACAAAAAGCTGCTTGGCTTTAAAGCGGCTTCTGTGTGAGCAATGCTTCATACATGGACCATTTTTGCCCACAAAAGTTTGCCTACAAAGAGACCACACCTTAATACTCAACAAGATGCTTGCTTTAAAGGATCTATTGTATAAAGTGCTAAATAAATCAACGTGATGTGACTGGAGTGCTGAATTACAAGGCTGGTGCATCACTATGAATAAATGCTTTCTTAACTGTTGCTTTCTCACTGCTGTCATTCTATTGGTGTTTATTTTCTTATTTCGAGGAAAACGGGCAGCACATATTACATCTAAGCACCACTTAGATGTTCGCTGACAGTATACTGCTGCTCAGGTATTTTGAACTTCTTTTTAGCCCAAGTGAAGAACAAAACATAACTTTGCCCTCTAACCTAGAAGATGGATCTCGTCTATGATGAGAATCGCCCACTTTCTGCACATAGCTGCGGTTCAGCCAGCTGCGACTGACTTCATCCAATTTTTCTCTGGAGTGGTGACGATCAGGTCAGCCTGCGCGATGGCCCGCATGTCTGGAGTAACGTCACCTGTTAACTCAACCACCCTAGAGAGAAAAAGTATGATTATGAGCAAACAAAGGTCATGGTATAATAACAGATACATATTTGCCAGAAGAATCTATAAACACTCTCACTTCCTCCCAAGTTTCTCTTCTATTCTGATCTTCCAGTCCTCAATCCTCTCTCGGACCAGAGCTTTGAGAGGAGCAATGTAGACCACCTGCTCACAGAGATACAAGCCAGTTAAACCATCTCTTAAGAACTAAAACTAAACCCTAACAGATGGCAAACGTTCAGACCTTGGAGGTGGGGTACTTGTTGAAGACCCTGAAGATGGCCATTTCTGCAGAGATGGTTTTGCCGGAGCCGGTGGGGGCCCCCAGCAGGACGTTGGTGTCTGTATGGTAGAGTGTATGGAAGATCTGTGTGAGAATGGGATTAAAGTGTGTGAACTTGTATAGACTCTCATACTCCCGGTTTCCCAATGCAGTCATAGGCAGCAGCTGAAAATCCAAGAGCTCTGGAATGAAGCAAATGAAAACGGTAATCTATAAAATAACATTTGCATGGCTAATTCATTATAAAACACACATTTGAGTTGAGTCTGCAGCCTCAGGTTTATTTCAGATGTGATCACATTGGGACCACTGTGGTTGCTTACACAAGGCCTGTTGGTCTCATGCATTTCTATGCTCTCACTGTGGTGAGGTGATGATGGAATTAGTGGCATTTGCAAAGCAAGCAACACTATTACTCCCACTCATACACTCTTAAAAAATAAAGAAATTTTCACAGCAATGCCACAGAGGAACCATTTTTGGTTTCCCAAAGTAAAGGCTCTTAAAGACGTTAAAGATTCTTCATAGAACCCATAGATGCCAATAAAGAAACTTCCATTTTAAAAATGTATCTTCATTTTTAAAAGCATTAACTTCTGCACATAACTTTGTCCTGCATCACTTGTGCTACAGATATAACTGCAACTTACTGAGGAGCACTATTGGATGTAAAACTTTCTTCTGGCACACTGTGAAACAATCTCATAGACTAAAGTCTGGACCACACAAACAATTCTGGGATTGCAAAGGAATTCTACTGTAGTAGGGCAAAATTGTGAGTCTTTGGTAGTGCACCATCTGTGAATGAATGGTCTTTACGGTGAATCTTAGACTGTAGCATTTTTGTTACTTGAAATAAAATTAACCGAAATATTAAAAAAAAGCTATTTGCCAAGACAACATTTCTTATTTTCATTCAACTTAATGTACTATGAAAATATTTAAAAGTAATCCAAGTAAAAACCTAATAAAAATAACAATCACACAACAAACTACTAACATTTTAACTAAATTGGCTATTTTACAACACTAATACAAATTATAATAGTATGTTTCATAAGAATTTCAAGAAATTTATCCAAAAAAAAAAAAAAAACATTTTTTTTTTTTTTCAAACAGATGCCCATTTATAAGTTCACAGTAACAAAAAACCTTCATGAAAGTGGAAACTACTGTTTCCATGGAAACCACATGACCAAACTTACACTACGGACACCAAACCACATGAGAATGATAAATATATCATTCCTTTTGCACGAGAAACAGAAAAAACTTTACAGAAGACTTCTTGTACTTCTAGTATCAGTGGTCTGATACAAAATACACACAAATTTGGTCCCACTTTATATTAAGTGGCCTTAACTACTATGTACTTACATCAAAAATAAGTACAATGTACTTATTGTGTTCATATTGTATTGCAAAACACTTTTGCTGCTATTGAGGTGGGATACAGGTAAGGTTAGGGACAGGTTTGGTTACATAAATGAATTACAGAAGTTATTACATGCAGGTATTTTTAAAATACAAGTACAATGTAAAAACATGTCTGTACACAATAAGTGCATTGTACCAAATGATTAATTCAAATGTAAGTACATAGTTGTTAAGGCCACTTAATATAAAGTGGGTCCAAAAATGTAATAAAATAAATAATAATAATAATAATAATAATAATAATAATAATCATATCACATGAACTTGAAATTCAGATCTCTCAACGACAGCACGTGAATTCTTGCTAATCATCATCAGAGCCTTATAGAGAGTATAGAGAGATCTGTTGATATAGAGATCTGTTGTATTAGATGGCTTGCATTTAGCACTAAAGTGAGTGAAATCTTTATAGTCTGTTGAGTCGTAGCCTGGTTTACATTAAAGCGAGTGATATACGCATTGTCAGGCAGCTCAAATTTTGCATTAAAGCATCCAAATGACCAGAGAGCTTTTTCACTTTGCACATGGTGTGAGTAAATCTTCCTTGAGCTGTTTGATCTGAATCTGAATCACACAGCTTTATTCACATTAGTGATCTGAATTAAAGCCTGCTGCTGAACGGCATATACAGCACATTTTTCAACATGCACTGAAAACACTTATGAAATAAAGCATGATTCCAAAAATATAAATATAATCAAGAGCAAAGGTAAAATTGCACAGCTAACTGAAATTAAATAAATGGATACATAAAAAAAACATTAATAATACATTTATGAGTTTGTCATAGAGAAAAGGTGATGGAGCAAATGAACAGATGCTGCTTCAACAATGACAGTAAAAAACAAAAGTATGTTTTTTTTTAGATCTTTTTTTAGACAGCAATGTATGTAGCATGTAGTTTAGTAATATTCAAATCCTACTGAAATGACCACTGTACTATAAAGTGTGAATTATTTTGTATAGATATTATATGTATTAAACAGGGGTATATGAATGTATATTAGGGTATATTAGCATGCCTATTATTAACATATAGGCTGTTTATTAGTACTTATAAAGCATTTATTCTACATGACCGTATTCTACATCCCTAATCCTACCCAATGCCTAAACTTAGCAACTACCTTACTAACTATTAATAAGCAGCTAATTAGGAGTTTATTGAGACAAAAGGTGGGTTAAGATGTAAGGGATGGGCTAACAGTATAATCATAAGTGTAATTACAGAAATTAATTACAAACAGGTATTTAAAAAAATATATATATAAGTACAATGTAAAAATATGTATGTATACAATAAGTGCATTGCACCAAATTATTAATTTAAATGTAAGTACATGACCCCAAATTTTTGGTTGGTAGTGTACTGTATGTATTATGTATTATATTTATATACATGACCTACTGAGTGGATTAATGTAGCGTTAACGATGTATTCATGTGGCAGAGGGCAGGTCATGCTCAGAGCATGTTGGCGGGTGATTAGTGTTGGCTGATGGTCATCCAGCTGTTGGGTGTCACGCTGGACGAGTTATGGTCACACAGGAGCACCGGCACAGAGCGGCCCATCTGTGGCCCATCACAGCACTGGCCCTCAAGAGAACAATAGCAACAGATCTGGGCCTATTCAAGCCTTTGTGCTCTTAAACACAGGGGAGGAGATGTACAAATCAATGACTCCTTCAGCTCCTCCTGCCTAACCTACTGTGAGTGTGTGTACGCGCGCGCGTGTGTGTGTGTGTGTGTGTGTGTGTGCGCTACAGTGAGGATATGTGCAATTGTAAATAATGTGCTCAGTACAAACATATGTCACAACTAAACATTACTATCTATTAATTCCCAAAGGCCTCATCCTTCTATTTCACCAAAACACGCTTTTAACTGTTTTTAATTAAATTTAGAAAATGCAGTTTATATATTTAGTCTGACATAATATACAGCTTTATAACTTTAAAAATAAACTGCAACCAAATTGCATGAGGATTCAGGTTTATCTCACAATTTTAAAGAAGGTCTGAAAAAAAAAGAGGAATTCACAAAAGCACATTTATTACTAAAATGATGCCATGATGTTAAATCTATATATAGTCACAGTTTTGACTTTTATTGTCTTTTAAATAATTGTTACGGGGCTGACGAGACGTGAGATGTGCGGATCCATTCGCAAAGCTTTTATTGTGGAGAAGACAGAGACATGGTCATAAAGCAGGCAGGGTCAAACAGAGGCAGACAGGTATATGGCGGGCAAAACACAAGAATAATCCTAGGGCTAGCGTGGGTTTGACGATTGGCAGACAGAATCAGAAGGGGCAAGACTAAGGGAGAAATCCAGGAAACCAGGCGAAGATCAAATCCGAAGGAGACAGTTTTTTTTAGATCTTTTTTTAGACAGCAATGTATGTAGCATGTAGTTTAGTAATATTCAAATCCTACTGAAATGACCACTGTACTATAAAGTGTGAATTATTTTGTATAGATATTATATGTATTAAACAGGGGTATATGAATGTATATTAGGGTATATTAGCATGCCTATTATTAACATATAGGCTGTTTATTAGTACTTATAAAGCATTTATTCTACATGACCGTATTCTACATCCCTAATCCTACCCAATGCCTAAACTTAGCAACTACCTTACTAACTATTAATAAGCAGCTAATTAGGAGTTTATTGAGACAAAAGGTGGGTTAAGATGTAAGGGATGGGCTAACAGTATAATCATAAGTGTAATTACAGAAATTAATTACAAACAGGTATTTAAAAAAAAATATATATAAGTACAATGTAAAAATATGCATGTATACAATAAGTGCATTGCACCAAATTATTAATTTAAATGTAAGTACATGACCCCAAATTTTTGGTTGGTAGTGTACTGTATGTATTATGTATTATATTTATATACATGACCTACTGAGTGGATTAATGTAGCGTTAACGATGTATTCATGTGGCAGAGGGCAGGTCATGCTCAGAGCATGTTGGCGGGTGATTAGTGTTGGCTGATGGTCATCCAGCTGTTGGGTGTCACGCTGGACGAGTTATGGTCACACAGGAGCACCGGCACAGAGCGGCCCATCTGTGGCCCATCACAGCACTGGCCCTCAAGAGAACAATAGCAACAGATCTGGGCCTATTCAAGCCTTTGTGCTCTTAAACACAGGGGAGGAGATGTACAAATCAATGACTCCTTCAGCTCCTCCTGCCTAACCTACTGTGAGTGTGTGTACGCGCGCGCGTGTGTGTGTGTGTGTGTGTGTGTGTGCGCTACAGTGAGGATATGTGCAATTGTAAATAATGTGCTCAGTACAAACATATGTCACAACTAAACATTACTATCTATTAATTCCCAAAGGCCTCATCCTTCTATTTCACCAAAACACGCTTTTAACTGTTTTTAATTAAATTTAGAAAATGCAGTTTATATATTTAGTCTGACATAATATACAGCTTTATAACTTTAAAAATAAACTGCAACCAAATTGCATGAGGATTCAGGTTTATCTCACAATTTTAAAGAAGGTCTGAAAAAAAAAGAGGAATTCACAAAAGCACATTTA